AAAACAGTTGCAATAATCCTGCAAAACAAAATCCTGCGTACTGTTGAAAAACTCAGTATAAGATTTTCCTATTTAGCAGGCAATTTTATTTTTTAAAATACAAGAAATCTCAGTGACAAGCACCCACAGGCTGGTTGTGCTTCCTTGCTATCTTGGCCTAGGTGCACTTTGGAAACTGAACAGACCTACTGCTTTGCAATAGCTGTTATGAGTACACCTCACACTAGGTCTGTTCACAGCCACGTACCGTATCTCTTCTCCGACTAAACCCCAGTACTTTTGGACTATCGGGGACAGGAAGGGAGGGGTAGGGGACAGAAGGGGAGAATAAAACTAAGAAAATAAAGAAAAATAACTATGTAGCTCAGCAAACACAACACCAGATTTATTTTTTTCCCCGTCTCTGACCGCGTTCACCTTTCCCCCGACCCCGCATTTACTATCATTTACTAACACACCAATGCACTTCCTGAAACGCCCACCCACCCACTACAGCAGTGAAAACATGTACCGTAGTTGCACAAAAAAAGCATCAAACTACCACGAACCCAGCCACGGAGCTGCCGAACAACACCTCCGTCCAGCGGGAGCGGCACGAACCCGGGCCGCTCCGGGCGCCCGGCCGGGGAGGGCGGCCCGTGCCTGCCGGCGCGGCCTCAGCCCGGGCCGCGGCCTCAGCCCTCAGCCCGGCCGGGCTGGCCCCGCAGCACCGCCCGCACACGGCCGGCTGCGGGGACACGGGGGCACGGCGGCTGCTCACCTGCATGGTGCCGGCGGGGCCGGGGCCGAGCCCGGGCAGCAGCGCTGGGCAAGGCCGGGCAGGGCCGGTCCCGGCGTGCGCGGCGCGGCCGGAGGAGGCGGCGCTCCCGGCGGGGCGGGCGCGGCGCCACCAGCGCTGCCCGCACCGCCTAATAAGGATGGGCCCGGCACGGGCGGTGGGACGGGATCGCGGCACGGCTTGGGCTGAAAGGCACCCTAAAGATCGTAAATCCCCCTGCCGTGGGCGGGGACACCTTCAGCAAAGCAGGTTGCTCCAAGCCCTATCCAAGCTGACACAGAATAACCATGCTTGAGCAGGGAGGTTCGACAGATCACTCGCTGTGGTCTCTTCCAGTCTTTTTCTGTGATTCCCTGTAACTTTTCTATCCACTTCACTGAGCCTTTTTTTATCTCTCAACATTTCATACCCTGCTTTATTTCCCCACTGGTTTATCTTTATTTTCTTTCCCTGATCTGTTAAAAATAAAATAATATAATATAAAATAAAATAAGTAATCAAGCCCGTATTATCTATTCTTATTAGGCGTAATAAGCTGTACTTGTAGTATTGTTATGATTGGATCACAGCCAACTGATATTTCCAGAAATTTGTCTCTTGATAGTCACTTTTATTTCAGTTTTGAGTCTGTGTTAAAGTATCACTCAGAAAACACTGAGAAGTGTGTTGAATGCAGTGACCCAGATCTGTTTGGGATCACATCCCATTCCGTACAAACGGGCACCTAGGCCTGCCCTTCTGAAGAATGGGCAGATCTTTTCAGCTTGCTTCTCAAAGACACATAGCAGAGGGGAGAGACCTGTTCCTGCCTCCCTTCACCTCCTTTCACACTCTATCCCAATGGACAGCATGCTCCCCGAGATCTCAGTCTCCATAAAGGAACCCTAAAGAACCTGCCAGCGTGCCTTAAGAGTGTGTTTGGGCATGTGGAGGAAGGACTCAGCTCTGAAAAGGGCCTGAAATGAAAATTTAGAAGCCCCACTTCCATATGTTATAAGATCATGGGTAGCCCATGTTATAAATGAAATTATAATTTTGACACTAGGTCCTTTGAATTAATAACAGTTTAATTAAAAATGAATACAATTTAATGAATTGAATAGTAATTTGGTACAAAAGAATACAATTTAATAAAAGAATACAGTTTAGTAAAAAAAAAAATACAATTTATAGATATAATTTGCCAGTAATTAGTGATGATTAAAGCATAAGCAAAACCGACCGGGGTATGGGGAGGGCTTGTTACCCTACCTCATGTACAAAACCGACTGGGGTACGGAGGGGGTTCCCCACACTGCCTCACGTACAAAACAAAGCATTTCAAGCTAAGCTTATATACTATATGTTATACATATTCATTAATGTTTCCCATAAGTTTCCTCCTCTTTCCGATTTTTTTTTACTTTATGTCACTTTTCTTCACAGTGCATGACTCACTTGTTGTTAGGGGGTCTGCAGTCTTCTTTTGGTGGTCTTTGGACGAAGGCTTACACTCATCCTCGCTGTCCTCTGGATAACCTCACAGGTTTGTGCGAGCGTACTAAGCATTGTGTTATGTAAGTCTACTAATTAGTCTTACATTTAATGAATTTTAGGCCCTATGCCTAAAGTCATTCTAATTTTGTCCATCTCAAGGCCGTTTTCATCTTGGGACATCATTTATCTTCCAAACTACATCCTATACCTCAGTTTTAACATGTAACATCTGCAGAGGGGTACATCTGCTTTGTAACGCTGATTCTTTTGATTGCTTCTAATAATAACTTTCCAAATAGTTACAATTTAGTTAGCACGCATCAATTCCATTTATTGCACCCATTAACAGCCAGTTATTCTGAAGCAGGTTGGCCACTTTCCCTGTGCTAAGTCTGGGTTACTGAAGGGAAGGCACAGCCACCTTTTCTGCCTCTGAATTAGAAGAAATGGACAGCTGTGCTTTGAGAGGGCATCAGTCCTTATAGTGGGCATTTGAACGTGCAGAGGGTACCCCATACTGGTTGTTCAATGCCCTGGAGTGGCAGGAAGCTCAGCCTCACTCAGCTTAGACTAAATGCTCATCCTTGTAGGAAAAGTGTGTGAGTGCCACAAATACAGGTGCTGTGAGGCTCTGACCCACAGTTGATGTCTGGCAGGCAGAACCAAAGGCTGAACTGTCCATGACAGTTTTGTTGTCTGAGTATTTTGCCAGAGCTTGGCATTCCAGGAGTACCCTCTGGTTTAAATAGTCAGCTTCTATGGCTGAAATATTGTGCACATCCATGGATCCTGTATGTTGCTGGTTGGAAACTACTTTGAATGCCAGAAAACAAACGCAGAAAGGGTATGAGCAGGAGCACTCATTTCTTTAAAAAGTGCTCAAAAATATTCCTTTGCCTGAGGTGAGATTTTTGCCCAAGTGAACTAACAGTAACCAGCCAAGCACCCTCAGCATCAGAACCACAGTAAACCCTGAGCACCATCTAGGACAGTTAGTTAGCAGAAGAGGGGGCAGAAGCCTAAATCTTAGGAGCAGCCCCATCACATCACTTGGTGGGGCTCAGACACAATGTGAACCAAGCATTACTCTCTGCCCAGGACACATTGAAAGCAAAACACAGTTTCCCCCTCCCACCTAACTAAAAATATATTTACAAAGCCCATTTTCCCTATATACCTTTTTTTAATCAAGCTTCAGCAGGAAGGAGAGGACTGTTTTTACACATAGTGTACAGACAGAAATACTCCAGCCAGAATGGGTGAGAACTGGCAGTGTCATAATGAGACTGAAGTGTCTCACTATGAGCTCAGCCCTTGGAGGCAGCCTGCCTTCTTCCCCCACACCCCAGCAAATTTCCTTCTGAGCAGCTGTAATGTATTTCCTCATTTTGCCCCAAATCGGGAATTAGATGAAGGTGAAGGAAACACTGTGTGTGTAAATTACTCATTAATTACCCAGGTGACCCACTGATGAGGAGAAAAAGTTGCTAATAAAAAGGCTCTGGGCGTAGGGTAGAGATAGCAGTGTTACATGGTTTTCCTGTGGTTGATAGCAGGTTGCAGTAAGGTGTAGACTAGGATAAAATAAGAATTTTTTGAAGGTACTGTGGTGTATTTTTGATTTATAACATATTGTGGAAGATTTGGGGTTGTGGGCTTCGTGTTATTTTTAAAGTTATTAAGTTACTGTGTATCTATTCTGTAGAATGACTGTACTGTGAGTAATTTAGAAATAGTATTGTTTGGTAATAGGGCTAAAGAGGTATGAGGGCTTGGTTTGTTTGGATTTTATTAGAGGCTGGGGTTTTTAAGTTTTTACTTTTTTTCATCTTCTTCTTAAAGCTTATTCTAATTTTTCTTGAATAGTTAAACCTCTCTGTAAAAACCCTACACGCTAATGTAGTGATGGGTGTTCTTGTATGTTGAAAATAGTTGTGCTGGAAGTTAACTGTCCTATTTACTTATAGACTAGAAACATTATTTAAATTAATAGTTTTGCTACTCCAATTGTAAGAGTATTCTATCTGGGCTGTATTCCCTTCATCATGAGGAAGTAGATGGTAATTTGTATTCTTCAGCCTGCATTGTGCTGTCCAGATCAATTAATCCCTTTCCTAGTGTAGAAGATCTCCAATAGTATTCTCATAGAAGCCAGAGAATACCACTTGGGGAATTAATTTATGCTCTGTATGAGAATGTCCTGGAGTATTTTGGGTATAAATACAATACATACATATATATAAACAAGCTGTGGGCTGCAAGAATTTTTCCAGTTTTAGAGCTAAAATGGAGGAAAGTTGTAACTTGACAGTAGAAGCTGTAATGCAGATTCTTATTTAAAGAAGAGATAGGCCTCAAGTTAGCTTTGAGGTAACAGTTGTGGTGTTTAAGAAAAATCTGGCTGAAGAAGACTTGCTGTACCTTAGTCCCAAATACATTCCAAGTAGCAAGGGAAAGCCTCTCTTCTTTTTAGCCCTTTGTATCTAACTTCAGTAACCCTTGACAGGTTTTGCAATGAGATCCTTCTTCTAAAAGGCAGTCTGTAAAAGGGCAATAATAGTTAAAATTTTAGCTCTTCTCTTGATGACCTGTGGTGTGTGGTAAGCTCTTTTCTCAAGAAAAGAATGCGCTTTCTCCTTGATATGGAGCAGCAGAACTGACCTTGCTGTTACCTCCTCTTGCTATCCATTAGCTGTAGCCCAAGTACTTTGAAGACCTCCAGTCCTCTATCTCCTTGCCTGTCAGAATGTCTGGACATGGAAAGAAAAAAGTAGTGGCTGGCAACCCTAGAAGTGCATCAAAGAAAAGCAAATCAGCCAAGGCAGGTCTGCAGTTCCCCGTGGGCCGTATCTACAGACTGCTCCGAAGAGGGAAGTATGCTCATAGGATTGGTTCTGGTGCTGCCATCTACCTGGCTGCAGTGATGGAGTACATGGCAGCAGAGGTCCTGGAGCTGGCAGGGAATGCTGCACGTGAAAACAAGAAGACTCGGATCCTGCCCAGGCACATTCAGCTGGCTGTGAGAAACGATGATGAGCTGAACAAGTTCTTTGCCTGTGTGACCATTCCTCAAGGCGGGGTTATGCCTAATATCCTTTCTCAGCTCCTTCCGAAGAAAACCAGTAGAAATGTTTCTTCTTCTCAAGAATATGGTGGTGGTAGCCAGTGAAACTTGCTTTTCCTGGTCTGCTCTGCACACTTATGGATGATAGGACTCAGCACCGCTAGTATGTGTGTGTTTACTTCTTTGTCAAGTATTTTGCTTGCTAATTTTAAGGCATTTTTAAAGCATGTAATAAAGTTTCTAGAATGCAGCACTGGTATCCTTTTCTCATGGATGGAAGAACAGAGAAAATTTTTAAAAGTAGCCTAGCACCTGAATAACTTTTTTAAAAGTATGGTACGTGCTTACTCCTGAAAACATGTTGCAGGTAAGCGTTGTGAAGCAGGGAGAGGAGTCAAGACACACATTGCTATTCCTGTGAACTTTTCTTCTATCTAGCACAGATTTGTGGTGCAATTAGTTCAGTGCCTTGGAGGTTGTTTAGCTTTGCTTTAGAGGTTAGTAACCCTGTGTCTTTTAAAGCCTTATAGCTCATAAAACTGTAGCGAGCGTCTGCTTCTCTTTAGACTGCTCCATCATTGCACCAAGTCTCTGTCAGGGCAAAGCATGCAGGAACTGGTGGAGCCATTTCTTCTTTTGGTTTAACGTCTTAACACAGATAACAAATTCAATGTTTTTCCATTGTGCAAGGTTATCAAGAACTTGAGAAGGGGTCTACCTTCCTTCTCCCTTCAAAAGTCCATGGGTCTTCCTCTGTGGCTCCATTAATTTTTTTAAGTAGTCATTTTTGCATCTTTTAAGAAAAAAATAAATAAAATTACCCTTCCATAGTCAGGGACATTTAACTTACTTTGACCATAATTAACAAGTAACAGGTCCTCTCAAAGGAAACTTGCTCTGGTGTCTGCTTTATAGCATGTTCTTCCTCAGAACATATTCACTGCCATTTTCTTCTGTATTAGGACACTCTGTACTGGGGCAACAGGAGGAAGAAGGGTCAAGCATAAGATGTTGTTGAAAGAAATAGTTCTGAAGTGGTGAGAAACCGTGAAATGTGAGAATGGAGATGAAAATGCTGTAAAAATAGAATGAGAGATAGATACAGCCCATGAAGGAAAAAGCAGCATAAATGTCTGCAGGAAGCAAATGTAAAATTTGTGCGAGGTAGCATTTCACAATAGAATAAAGCAAAGAATAATTCCCTTTGTGGCAGGAAGAACTGGGTGATACTCTTTTGTTTACGCTATAAAGCTTGTCAGGATACTTTCTGGCTGTTCTGGCTCTGCATTTATACCTGCTGTCCTCTTACTTACCCAATAGCACTACTGATATTTTCTAGACATATTCTTTCATCCACAACACTTGTTAAAAGTTAATGCAGCTCATTAAGCTTTGAACCAGCCCTGGCAGGGGCCACCAACAGATCAAATGTTCTGCTGCTGAAGAGGAAATAAACACAGTTATGGCACTTCACTGCTGCCTTACAACACATCAGCAGTGAAGTTACAGATCCTCAGAAACCTGGGGGTAGAACAATGAGAAAAGTTGTTTTGTTGTGGGGTTGTTTTTTTTTTCTTACAGGTGTTGCCACTCTGAGAGGGGAAAAATGCAGAACTCAATTTTGGCACCCAGTTTTGCAAAACATATGCTGAGGAGTACTTAAACATTTACTGGAGTAGCACTAATTACACTGATAAATAATGATGCATTCATGTAATCAGAAAATTAATTTGTTCAAGGATGAAGTCTTATTTGATTATAAGGTAAACTCTCAACAAATATTACTGGTCTATTAGTCATTCATGTCATCATTTGTTCTAAACCTAGACATTTGGAACAAGTTGAGACAAATATCCAGATAATGACCATGTGCTTTCCTTGGACAGTTTGGGTTGTATCCAGGTTGATTAATAGGTGCTCTGGATGATTTTGAACAGAAAGGCACAGGGTATCATAGGAAAATGTTGAGGCTAAGTAACCATGCCCTTTTTTCACAAAGGGGAAAATAGGAAGATGTCATCTTAGTATTTAAGATGCTTAGCTTCATGTGAACAGGTAAGCCCCAGTTCAATAAAGTGCTTGGTAAGTATGGAAATCATACCCCCAGGTTATTCTAATAAAATTGTGATAAAAAGTTTCATGTAATACAGTATAGAGGAGCCTCTTCAAACTACAAATAGAATAGAAATAATTTTGCTTGTCCTCTTGATCAGAAAAGTGCTCATTTACTTTGATGAAACAAGGCATTAATTGCATGGTACTTTTGCACATGACTAGTTCTCATGTCTCATGCTATAGGTTTCAACTTAGCTCAGTCACTTGTAGCTGGGCTGGTATGTGACTTAGTTACAAATCAAAGCAAAAAAACCCACTCAAAACATAGCTCCTCTGGCATCTCTCTTGTCACTGGTGCTGCAAAACACATTTCTCTTGATGTGGTGTTACTTTCCTAACTCAGTTATGCCATGGTGCCGGGATCTCAAGGAAAATAGATGTCTTCAATAACACCCATTAGGGAATGTGTGTACATGGTACTCCACAATTCAATGAATTGGTGGACAGATGGCAGCACGGGGGTGAAATGATGCCTGGAAAAACTCTTTTACCTGTCTAGAGGACTGGATGCTGCTGACGGATGTCTCAGTTGCACAGAGTACTTGTAGTTCACTCTGCACTGAGATTTATATGTTTATAAACTTAATATGTTCTGTCACCTTCACTTTCTCTGTAAGGAGAGGAAACACCCCAAGTTAGAGCCTTAGACTTTCTTGTCTTGGTGAGCACAAGGGATGCACAAGGTCTGAACTCATTCACTACCCGAGCTGGTCAAGCCCAGCACACGGTTGAGAGGGGTAGGACCCAGAGTGCATTTGCTTTGAACATCCCAAATTGATGCTGGCTTTGCCCTCTGCTGACAGGTCCCAATAATGCAATTCCTAAACACCATTGTCCTCTTGGAAGTCAATTGCCACTCTTTTGAAAGTCACAGAGTAGTGGATTTGGGTTATAATCTGAGATTATATGTAGTCTGTGGAACTATACAGAGCTGTGAAAATAAAGGAAAAGATGTTGTATAAGACTACTGATAATCAAAGACTATTTTTGGTGTTTTTTCATGTAGCAGAGTCTCTGGTGTAGTTCCTGGAGAGGTCATGCTGCCCAGCAGGGGAGGTGGCTCTGGCACATCAGTTCACACCAGGGTCATGAGAGGAAATATGGCCTTGGTGCTATGCTGAATGAGGTTCCTGAATTTTTCTTCTTTTCTGATGGATCACACATGATTGCCTCTGGGTGCTCTGAGGTTGGTTCACACATGTTCTACATTTTTGCATTTTCTGCTGGAAGTTCTAGTCCGTGTTTAGGTATTTTTCTGTTTGATATTTAGACAGCTGTATTCCAGAAGCCTATATTTATGTGTATGCATCTTTCACTGCTGTAATCTAGCAGGTACTATCTGAATGGCTGTGTAGTAATCCCTGGATGCAGAAGCTTTGTAGTAAATATATCCAGAATACTTTTCTTTCAAGTTTGCCTTATGTTGTCATTCAGACTTCCTCTATTGCTCTTTCAGCAGATTGAAGGCTAGTAGGGAGATGGTGTTTGGTGTACAGAGAAATGTCAAAATTTTAGGTGGTGAATTATAACCTGCTATAAGATCAGTCACATTTTTGATTTTGTTGGAAAAAAGTTGATCCAGAAATGACTGAAGGAGATTTAGTAGCTCCTTCTAGTTGTTCAGTGCAGAAATCTATCAGAGTGATAAAGACAGCTTATGCAGTCCAGCCCATTCAAAGATATGTTTCTACCCTGTTTAGTAAGGTAGAGGGATGGCAATTGCAATGTGGGAGTTGTCTGGAACAGGTAAGTAAATCTTAAGAGTGAAGTCCACATAAGCAATCAGTAGATATCCTGGGATCACTGCTAGACTCTAAAATCCCAGCAAATAAGTAATGGGGACATTACTGACAGCAATGGGGTGTTTAAAATGAAGCATTTTGTCATTCCTCACACTTCCCTTCTTTCAAATCAACCCCACTTCATTCAGAGTTCCAACTTTCCTTGACCTCTGCCTTTCCTCTTTGCTGGTTGTTCCCCTCTTTCTTCTCCTGTATTGCTCTGTACATGGAGCCTTAACTATATTCACCAGTGCAACACCTCCCATGTAACAGTCTCTACAGTTTCTTCTTCATTCCACATTGTATTTTTGTGTTCTCCTCAGCACTATATTTGACTGTCTACAGTTACCCATCCCCTTTGCTGCAAAGCTGCTATTGATTACTCTTAACTATGTGCAATCACTTCCTTTCATCTTCAGTGGGCTGTACATATTTTTTTCCATATGTATCTTTGGCGAGGTCATTCTGAATGCTGACTCTGTCCTGCAGTGTTGCCATCCCTCCCAGCTTGCCATCACCTGAAGATTTGGTAAGTGAGCTTTTTCCTGTGGGAGCTGAGGAGGGAGTGAGGCTGTCCAAGGCGCAAGATCACGAAGGGACCAGAGAGAGGGAAGTAGAACACCAAGAAGGTTTTCCTCTTGTGCTTCGTGCTCTGTCTCCTTGGTGAGCAGCTTGTCGTGAGGCTGGGCAGTACTTGCTCCCCTGCAGATGAGTGCATTTCCAGGTCCCTCGCTGTGCACTCTGCTGAGCAGTGCCTTACTGAGCCCAGCTCCAGCAGGCCAGGCTTTTAAGGTCCTAGGCCAGCCTGAAGTGATTTTTGAGTCAAGTTAGGTGGCACAAAGGTGTGCACTCCTGAACATTCCTGCCTTTCCAAAAGTCCACTGAGCTGTCCTTAACCATGTGCTCTAAGTTGTGGCAACTGGTTTCAGGAGTTACTGAAGCACTACAAAAAAATTTTCTCCTTTGCAGCTGAAACATGCTGCTTCTCAGTGTAATTGAGTGTCCCTCCTTGCTGTTTTTATGACTTGAGGATGGATAAGTACCAAATTTACTTTTCTAAACACACTCAGTACTTTGTATACTTTGTGATGAAATTCTTGATTTGTCTCTGCCTGACAGTGAGAAACGAACTTTCACCTCTTTTTCTTGCAAAAATATTTCTGTGCTTCTAATTGTTGTTACCACCTGTGTCTGCACTCCTGAATTTCT